GTGTTATCATACACACTGTAAGGAGAGTGATCACTTAAGATGAGCTATTACCAGTAGGAGAGTGGGGGCAGGGGGGAACCTTTTGTAGAGATAATCAAGGTGGGCCATTTCCAGCAGTTGACAAGAACATCTGAGGAACAGCGGAGGATGAAGGGGGGGAATAAACATGGGGAAATAGTTTTACTTTGTGTAATGACCCATCCACTCCCAGTCTCTATTCAAGACTAAGTTAATTGTATCCAGTTTGCAAATTAATTTCAATTCAGCAGTCTCTCGGATCTGTTTTTGAAGTCTTTTTGTTGTAATATTGGGTCTGTAATCGAGTGACTAGAGAGACTGAAGCGTTCTCCGACTGGTTTATGAATGTTATAATTCTTGACATCTGATTTGTGTCCATTTATTCTTTTACGTAGAGACTGTCCAGTTTGACCAACGTACATGGCAGAGGGGCATTGCTGGCACATGATGGCATATATCACATTGGTGGATGTGCAGGTGAACGAGCCTCTGATAGTGTGGCTGATGTTATTAGGCCCTGTGATGGTGTCCCCTGAATAGATATGTGGACACAGTTGGCAACGGGCTTTGTTGTAAGGATAGGTTCCTGGGTTAGTGGTTCTGTTGTGTGGTGTGTGGTTGCTGATGAGTATTCGCTTCAGTTTTGGAGGCTGTCTGTAAGCAAGGACTGGCCTGTCTCCCAAGATCTGTGAGAGTGATGGGTCATCCTTCAGAATAGGTTGTAGATCCTTGATAATGCGTTGGAAAGGTTTTAGTTGGGGGCTGAAGGTGATGGCTAGTGGCGTTCTGTTATTTTCTTTGTTGGGCCTGCCCTGTAGTAGGTGACTTCTGGGAACTCTTCTGGCTCTGACAATTTGTTTCTTCATTTCAGCAGGTATAGTACTGTAGTTGTAAGAATGCTTGATAGAGATCTTGTAGGTGTTTGTCTCTGTCTGAGGGGTTGGAGCAAATGTGGTTGTATCGCAGAGCTTGGCTGTAGACGATGGATCGTGTGGTGTGGTCTGGGTGAAAGCTGGAGGCATGTAGGTAGGAATAGCGGTCAGTAGGTTTCCAGTATAGGGTGGTGTTTATGTGACCATCGCTAATTAGCACCGTAGTGTCCAGGAAGTGGCTGTCTTGTGTGGACTGGACCAGGCTGAGGTTGATGGTGGGATGGAAATTGTTGAAAACATGGTGGAATTCCTCAAGGGCTTCTTTTCCATGGGTCCAGATGAAGAAGATGTTATCAATATAGCGCAAGTAGAGTAGGGGCATTAGGGGACGAGAGCTGAGGAAGCGTTGTTCTAAGTCAACCATAAAAATGTTGGCATACTGTGGGGCCATGTGGGTACCCATAGCAGTGCCGCTGATTTGAAGGTATACATTGTCCCCAAATGTGAAATAGTTATGGGTGAGGACAAAGTCACGAAGTTCAGCCACCAGGTTTGCCGTGACATTATCGGGGATACTGTTCCTGACGGCTTGTAGTCCATCTTTGTGTGGAATGTTGGTGTAGAGGGCTTCTACATCCATAGTGGCCAGGATGGTGTTATCAGGAAGATCACCGATGGATTATAGTTTCCTTAGGAAGTCAGTGGTGTTTATTCCCCCCCACCAGCCCCCCCTGCTCCTCAGACGTTCCTGTTAACTGCTGGAAATAGCCCACCTTGATTATCACTACAAAAGGTTTTCTCCGCCGCCCCCTCCCCGGCTCTCCTGCTGGTAATAGCTCATCTTAAGTGATCACTCTCCTTAGAGTGTGTATGATAACACCCATTTTTTCATGTTCTGTGTGTATATAAATCTTCTCACTGTATTTTCCACTGAATGCATCCGATGAAGTGAGCTGTAGCTCATGAAAGCTTATGCTCAAATAAATTGGTTAGTCTCTAAGGTGCCACTAGTACTCTTTTTCTTTTTTGAAATAGCTAAACTGGACCCACAGAAGTAGCTACTTAGGGCTTGGCTACACTTGCAAGTTAGAGCACATTAAATCAGACCTGGGCGCCCTAACTCCTGAGGTGTCCACACTGGCAAGGGACTTAGAGCGCCTGGACTCGGCAGCTGGAGCGCTCCTGGTAATCCACCTCCACGAGAAGCATAAAGCTTGCTGCGCCCCAGCTGAAACGCCCAGGTGTCAGTGTAGACAATGTGTTGCATTACTGCGCTGTGATTGGCCTCCGGAAACATCCCATAATCCCCTGAAGTCAAGTGGCCCGTGTGGATGTCCCCTTTCAAAGCTCTGTTTCTGACAGCCTGCTGCTTATCTGCTCCGGGACACAAAGCAAACCATTACTGTGGAATGCTGCTGCTGCCAAGGCAGGCGTGTGTGTGTGTGTGGAATTTACAAGACAGTATGCTGATACTCTCTGCCTCCCAAAACACACTGTCTCTCCCACCACATACACACAACACACTCCCCACCACTTGAAAAGCACGTTGCAGCCACCTGCACACTGGGACAGCTACCACAATCATAGAATACCAGGGTTGGAAGGGACCTCAGGAGGTCATCTAGTCCAACCCTCTGCTCAAAGCAGGACCAATACCCAACTAAATCATCCCGGCCAGGGCTTTCTCAAGCCTGACCTTAAAAAACCTCTAAGGAAGGAGATTCCACCACCTCCCTGGATAACCAATTCCAGTGCTTCACCACCCTCCTAGTGAAATAGTGTTTCCTAATATCCAACCTAAACCTCCCCCACTGCAACTTGAGACCATTACTCCTCGTTCTGTCATCTGCTACCATTGAGAACAGTCTAGAGCCATCCTCTTTGGAACCCCCTTTCAGGTAGCTGAAAGCAGCTATCAAATCCCCACTCATTCTTCTCTTCTGCAGACTAAATAAGCCCAGTTCCCTCAGCCTCTCCTCATAAATCACGTGCTCCAGCCCCCTAATCATTTTTGTTACCCTCCACTGGACTCTTTCCAATTTTTCCACATTCTTCTTGTAGCGTGGGGCCCAAAACACACTGCTCTCTATGGCGTTGCAAGAGCTGCTAATGTGGCCACGCCACTGCGCTTGCAGCTGACAGTGTAAACACACGGCAGCATTTTCCCTGCTGCTGTCTCCAAAGGCTGGTTTAACTCCCAGCGCTCTACACCTACAAGTGAAGCCAAGCCCTTAGCCACAGGGGTCTGGTACCATTCCCTCCTAAATGGATCAGGCACACTATGACAGGCTTGATCATAGTCTCTAAGTACCTACATGGGAAACAGAAATTTGGTAATAGAAGACTCTTCAATCTAGGAGACAAAAGGTAAAACAATGGTTGGAAGTTGAAGCTAGATAAATTCAGACTGGGAGTAAGCGGCACATTTTTAGCAGTGGATGTAACCAACTATTGGAACAAATTACCAAGGATTACCACTGGCATTTAAAACAAAAACAAAAAATCAAGACTTGATTTTCTAGATTTATTTTTTAAAAGAACTGCTCTAGTTTAAACAGAACTTAGTTCAGGGAAGTCCTATGGCCTGTGTTACAGATGAAATCAGAGATCATCAGGGTCTCTTCTGTCTTTATAATCTATCAATCTAGCCACAGAAATCACACAAACCTCAGGAAATTAAGAAACACGCTTCTCAATCCCAAAGAAAGTGTACAGCAAGAGTTTGCCTACTACTCTATGAAAAAGGCAGCCAGAATGCTGCTGTGTGGCCTCCAGTACGACCCCTACCAAGACAGAAGAATGGAGGTATGACTGTATACCCTATATTCAACATAATATTATTACGATATGATTATGGCATAATTATGATGCATTTTGTACAAGGTGGGTCACATAAGATTCATTGGGAAAGTTATGATTTGCTGAATATGATTATTCTGTTTGTATGAATGTATCATTTTTCTATCTGAAGTTACGAATATTGACAAATATCTGTATTTCACATGTAGTCACACCTGGGTAACGCTCACTAGGCAAAATGCTTCCAGTCTAGATAGCCGGTTGTGAAGGGCCTATTCAAGGTAATGGGCCATTAGGAAGAACAATAAGCCTTAGGAGAAGCTTACCCCCACCAGGTGAGCCTTCCTGAGAATGCTCCGGACAGCCTGTAAGTAATGGCTGCTAATGATTCAACAAGGTATATAAGGGCATGTGACCAGCCCACATGACACGGAACTCCATTATGGATACCAGTGTTTTTTCCACAAAGGGTTTCCGCCTTCTGCTAAAGCTATATAAGGCAGGGAGTGACATCACTGGTTTTCTTCACTTCCCCACAACTGAACACCTAAGAGAAGCTCCAAAAGAGAAGGACTTGGAACAGGGGTGGGGATCCCAAGCTGCAAAGCAAGTGCAGCTTGTGCCTTGAGAATCTGCAAGCCTGCTTGTAACATCAGTCAGGGTGAGAATTGTTAATTCAAATCCTATCCTTCTAGTATGTTAAGCTCAGTTTGCGTTTTTGTTTATTTACTTGGTAATCTGCTTTGATCTGTTTGCTATCACTTATAATCTTTTTGTAGTTAATAAACTTAATTTATGTTTTAATCTAAACCAGTAAGTTTGGAGTGAAGTGCTTGGAAATCTTAGCTCAAGGGGTAGGGGCTGGTGCATTTCCTCTCCACATTGAGGGAGGAGCAAACTCTATCATCTTACGCTTTACAGTTCCACGTGCAGTGCAAGACTGTATAATTTTTGGGTTTATACTCCAGAAGGGGGTGCATGCCTGGGGAGTTGGGGGTTATCTTGGCTGTAGCCTCCCTATTGTTGATTCATGCAGTGGCTGGTCAGAAAGCCTGCATGTAACTGCAGCTGGGTCTGTCTCTACCTGCGTGAATGCTGGTGGTAGGACCTGGAGTGGGTCTGCAGCTTGTCACAGCAGCACAGTGTGAGAGGGAGCCCAGGCTGGTGAGTCAGAGTGCTCAGTGATACCCCAGTTCCAGGTGGCACCCTGGGGGGAACCCGTCACAGGGGGATGGCAAAAAGGGACCTACTAGCCCCTGGACACCAACACATCAGGGTGTCACTACCTCATGAGGAAGCCCTGATACTCACTGTGGTCACCAAGTCCAGCTGCTCCAGGTATTTCTGCTCCGTTTCCACCAGTTCCTTGGCTGTCCGGCTACGTTTCCTCTCCCAGCGAGCCCTCTGCTCTTCCACAGTGTTGACTGCGGCCACAGGCTGCAGTAGCATAACGCTTATAATTGATTCAAGGGTGCGGATGCAGGCAGCTGATATCTTTCCCTGAAGTAATAAAAGCCACAAACATCTGAGATAAAAGTGCACCCTGGATAGTGGGATTTTGTGCTCTGCTACTGTTTACCCTTCATTATGTAGGAAAGGAAACAGAAAGGTTACTAACCAGTAACAGTTATTCTTTGAGAAATGCCTGTGTGAATTTATACTTGTGGGTTTTACAACCCTCATGTCAAACTGTAGAACTGTCTTGAAAATGTGACCTAGAGGAAAAAAAAAAAAGAGGTTACAAAAGGCAAAAAATTCAATAATGGGGGATTTCAACTATCCTCATATTGACTGAGTACATGTCACCTCATGAAGAGATGCAGAGATAAAATTTATAAACACAGCTTCTTGGGGCAGTTTGTCCTGGAACCCACAAGGGGACACAGGATCTGGTCCAAAAGGCGACTATAGCTAAACTGTTCCATAGCGACCATAAGATAATTAAATGTAACATCCTTGTAGAGTGGAAAATACCAAAGAAACCCACCACAGTAGCATTTAACTTCTAAGTGGGGAACAACACTAAAATGAGGAAGCTAGTTAAATGGAAATGAAAAGGAACAGTCATAAGAGTGAAATGCCTGCAAACTGCATGGAAACTATTTTAAAACACCATAATAGGGGCTTAAACTAAAGTATACCCCAAATAAAATAATAGTCAGAGGACCAAAAAAATCCCACCATAGTTAAACAGCAGAGTAAAAGAGGTGGTTAGAGGCAAAAAGGCATCCTATTAAAAGTGGAAATTAAATCCTAGTGAGGAAAATACAAAGGAACATACACTCTAGCAAGTCAAGTGTAAAAGTATGAGGTGGCAGATCAAGAAAGAATCAGAAGAGCAACTAGGTAAGGACACACAAACTAACAGCAAAAAAAGTCCATCAGAAGTAGGAAGCCTTCCAAGCAATCAGTAGGGCCACTGGATGATCAAGGTGCTAAAGGAGCACTCAAGAAAGCCAAGGTACTGCAGAGAAGCTGAATGAATTCTTTACATTAGTCTTCACTGGAGAGCACATGGAGGATATTCCCACACTGAGCCATTCTTTTTAGGTGACAAATATAAGTAATTGTCCCAGATTGAGGTGTCAATAGAGATGGTTTTGCAATTTCAATGATAAATTAAACAGTAATTAGTTACCAGGACCAGATGGTCTTCACCAAAGAGTTCTGAAGGAACTCAAATATGAAATTGCAGAACTACTTACTGTGGTACATAACCTATTGCTTTAATCAACCTCCGTATCAGATGACTGGAGAATAGCTAATACAATCCCAATTTTTTTAAAAGGCTCCAGAGGTGATTCCGGCAGCTACAGGCCTGTAAATTTAACTTCAGTACCAGCAAATTGGTTGAAACTAGAGTAAAGAACAAAATTTTCGGACTCATAGATGAGCACAATTTGTTGGGAAGAGTCAACATGGCTTTTGTAAAGGGAAATTATGCCTCACCCATCCTATCGGAATTCATAGGATGGGTGTTTAAGCATGTGGACAAGGGTGATCCAGTTGATGTAGCGTACTCAGACTTTCAGAAAGGCTTTAACAAAGTCTCACACCAAAGGCTCTTAAGAAAAGTAAGCATTTATGGGATAAGAGGGAAGGTCCTCATGGATCAGTCACCAGATAAAATATAGTAAACAAAAGCTAGGAATAAATGTTCAGTTTTCACAATGGAGAGAGGTAAGTAACGTGGTCCCCCAAGGAGCTGGACTGGGACCTGTGCTGTTCACTATATTCATAAATGATCTGGAAAAAAGGGATAAATAGTGAGATGGCAAAATTTTCAGACCATTCTAAATTACTCAAGATAATTAAGTCCCAAGCTGACTGTGAAAGTTATAAAGGGACCTCACAAAACTGGGTGACTGAGTAGCAAAATGGAAGATTTCAGAGTAACAGCCGTGTTAGTCTGTATTCGCAAAAAGAAAAGGAGTACTTGTGGCACCTTAGAGACTAACCAATTTATTTGAGCATGAGCTTTCGTGAGCTACAGCTCACTTCATCAGATGCATACCGTGGAAACTGCAGCAGACTTTATATATACACAGAGAATATGAAACAATACCTCCTCCCACCCCACTGTCCTGCTGGTAATAGCTTATCTAAAGTGATCATCAGGTGGGCCATTTCCAGCACAAATCCAGGTTTTCTCACCCTCCACCCCCCCACACAGATTCACTCTCCTGCTGGTGCTAGCCCATCCAAAGTGGATGAAATTTGGTGTTGATAAGTGCAAAGTAATGAAATAATTCCAACTAGCCATACAAAATTATGGAGTCTAAATTACTGGTTACCACTCAAGAAAGATCTTGGAGTCCTTGTGGATAGTTCTCTGAAAACATCCACTCAATATGCAGTGGCAGTCAAAAAAGTTAACAGAATGACAGAAAATATTGTATGAACGGCTTTCATATGATGATAGGTTAAAAAGACCGGGACTGTTCAGCTTATAAAAGGTACGACACAATATAGGTCTATAAAATCACGGATGGTGTGGAGAAAGTGTTATTTATCTCTTCGCATAACACAAGAACCAGAGGGGTCATCCAATGAAATTAATAAGCAGGTTTAAAACAAACATAAGGAAGCACTTCTACAAAGAATGCATATAGTCAACTTGTGGAACTCCTTGCCAGGGGATGCTTGTGAAGGCCAAAAGTATAACTGGTTCAAAAAAGAATTAGGTAAGTCCATGGAGGATAGGTCCATCAACGGCTATTAGACATGATAGTCAAAATCCCATGCTCCCGGTGTCCCTAAACCTCTGAGTGCCAGAAGCTGGAAATGGATGACAGGGAATATATTGCTCAATAAACTGCCCTGTTCTGTTTCTTCCCTCTAAAGCATCTGGCACTGGCCGGTATCAGAAGACAGTATACTGGGCTAGATGGACCATTGGTCTTACCCATTATGGCCATTCTTACGAATTGATAATTTATATTCAAATTAAAAGTATTTGCTGAGGAGCTCTCTGAACCATTAAATCTTGATTTTTATTAAACCTTGGAACACTGTGGACATTGCAGAGGACTGGAAAAAACCAGTATTGTCCTGAATATTTAAAAATGGAATGTGGGATGACCTGAGAAACTGTAGACTGGTTAGCCAGTCATCAGTTTTGGGCAAAATTATGGAAAGGTTGATATGGGACTCAGTAGCAGAATTCATACCTAATCAAGATTCAGAGTAGCAGCCGTGTTAGTCGGTATTCACAAAAAGAAAAGGAGTACTTGTGGCACCTTAGAGACTAACAAATTTATTTGACCATAAGCTTTCGTGAGCTACAGCTCACTTCATCAGATGCATTCAGTGGAAAATACAGTGGGGAGATTTATATACATAGAGAACATGAAACAATGGGTGTTACCATACACACTTTTTGCGAATACACACTAACACTGGCTGCTACTCTGAAACCATACACACTGTAACAAGAGAGTTATCACTTAAGGTGAGCTATTACCAGCAGGAGAGCGGGGGGGTGGAGGGGACGGACCTTTTGTAGTGATAATCAAGGTGGGCCATTTCCAGCAGTTGACAAGAACATCTGAGGAACAGTGGGAGGGTGGAGGGGGGGGAAATAAACGTGGGGAAATAGTTTTACTTTGTGTAATGACACATCTACTCCCAGTCTCTATTCAAGCCTAAGTTAATTGTATCCAGTTTGCAAATTAATTCCAATTCAGCAGTCTCTCGTTGGAGTCTGTTTTTGAAGTTTTTTTGTTGAAGAATTGCAACTTTTAGGTCTGTAATCAAGTGACCAAAGAGATTGAAGTGTTCTCCGACTGGTTTTTGAATATTATAATTCTTGACGTCTGATTTGTGTCCTGCTGAAGTGAAGAAACAGATTGACAGAGCCAGAAGAGTACCCAGAAGTCACCTACTTCAGGACAGGGCCAACAAAGAAAATAACAGAACGCCACTAGCCATCACCTTCAGCCCCCAACTAAAACCTTTCCAACGCATTATCAAGGATCTACAACCTATCCTGAAGGATGACCCATCACTCTCACAGATCTTGGGAGACAGGCCAGTCCTTGCTTACAGACAGCCCCCAAAACTGAAGCAAATACTCACCAGCAACCACACAACAGAACCACTAACCCAGGAACCTATCCTTGCAACAAAGCCCATTTCCAACTATGTCCACATATCTATTCAGGGGACACCATCATAGAGCCTAATCACATCGGCCACACTATCAGAGGCTCGTTCACCTGCACATCCACCAATGTGATATATGCCATCATGTGCCAGCAATGCCCCTCTGCCATGTACATTGGTCAAACTGGACAGTCTCTACGTAAAAGAATAAATGGACACAAATCAGATGTCAAGAATTATAACATTCATAAACCAGTCGGAGAACACTTCAATCTCTCTAGTCACTCAATTACAGACCTAAAGGTCGCAATATTACAACAAAAAGACTTCAAAAACAGACTCCAACGAGAGACTGCTGAATTGGAATTAATTTGCAAATTGGATACAATTAACTTAGGCTTGAATAGAGACTGGGAGTGGATGAGTCATTACACAAAGTAAAACTATTTCCCCATGTTTATTCCCCCCCTTCGCCCCCCCACTGTTCCTCAGATGTTCTTGTCAACTGCTGGAAATGGACCACCTTGATTATCACTACAAAAGGTCCCCTTCCCACCCCCCCTGCTGGTAATAGCTCACTTTAAGTGATCACTCTCTTGTTACAGTGTGTATGGTAACACCCATTGTTTCATGTTCTCTATGTATATAAATCTCCCCACTGTATTTTCCACTGAATGCATCTGATGAAGTGAGCTGTAGCTCACGAAAGCTTATGCTCAAATAAATTTGTTAGTCTCTAAGGTGCCACAAATACTCCTTTTCTTTTTCCTAATCAAGATGTTATGGAAAAGGGGACTTGTCAAAGAAACCTGATATTTTTTCTGAAATCACAAATTTGGCTGATAAAGGATAACCGTGCTGACATAATATACTTAGAATTCTAGGAGGCATTTGATTTAGTCCTGCATGACATTCTGATAAAAAAAATTAACATTATACAAAGTCAGTTTAGGCCATATTAATTGCATTAAGAACTGGCTCACTGACAGATCTCAGGAAGTAGTTGTAAACTGGGACTCACAGATTTTGAGACCAGTGGGACCATTAGATCACCTAGTTTGACCTTTTGTTTAACACAGACCATGGAATTTTACCCAGGTAACCCTGTACT